TGGCATAACATTTTATATTTTAGCTGTAAAGCTAATGTTTTTTGACTTGAGATACAATAAGATACAAAAGATTAGAAAAGTAAATAAAAAGCAAAAGTTTTACTGGTCTTAACAATGTTGAAAAGATCAGGACATATGGTTGATTAAATTTCTACAATCAGAGATAAGTTAATAAATTCATTTTGAAATATGATCTGAGGTATGATCCAAGCTATGATCTGAGATCTACAATTAACCAATCAAAATGAACTTCTTCAATGCTTGAAACAAGCAGTTATACAATAAATAAATAAATAAATAAAGTCACTTTATCTCTTGTTTGCATTCTCAATATAGATATAAGAATTTTTACACCTGCAAACTGTTTTACAATATACATTACCTTTTTATAATGCTAAATTATTATTCACTTCAAAATTAAGCTAAAATTCAAATAAATTATGCAAATGCAACATTTCTAGGCATAAAGGCCTTAACAAAAAAAACAAGTAAGACAACATATGAATCTAAACAAAAAGATTATACCAATCTTCAGAAAAGCCTAAATGATAACAAATAGGTAAATACTGAGGATTTAAAGGCAGAACCTGTATGCTCTTATTTTGTTTGAGCTTAACCAATACAATATGACTATGTCCATGCTAATGCAAAATAACAGGTTTTTTGTGATGCCTAGGTTTTTAATCAAATGGTAAAAAAAGGAGACTCAATGTTGAATTCTTACCAAATGCTACTATTGGCACATTAAATGTATCTGATGCCAGCTGTGCATACTCAGATATGTAAAACCAGTATTTTTGTGTACATCCTTGTTGAGTATATGATAAAACAGTTATCAAATACTTAGTATCATATTCAAGTGTGTTATTATATAAATATTGCTGCTTAGACAACTGAGATTTCATAGTAATCTTAACATCTTGCTATTTCTCTTTTTCTTAAAACAAAGCTACAGATAGTGACCAGAAACCGCAATGACCATCTTCAAGTAGGTTGTGCATCTACAATTATATATGTCCAAATTATTTTGTGGCTATGTAGTTATATTTTGACCAATTATATATAAGCAAAAAATTACTAAGAAAATATATTAGCTATTTGCAGCCAATATATTTTCTTAGTAAATTTTCATAGATACTTAATTACATAGGGTACAGCTAATTTATCTTCTGTCATTCATGTAACTCTACTAAAGATTAAAATATGTAGAGAAATTGAATACCATATTTTCATGAATAACAGAACATAGACATTATCTAGAAAATTGTATCCCCTAAAAATAGCATACATGGTTTCAAAATAATATCTATACATGTTCCAAAATAACATGCAACCCATATAAGGATTTCAACTAAACTTAGCATTTAGATAAAAATCATATTGTTGTCTCAAAACAATGTTCCTATGCATATACTCTAATGCAATATACTCAAAATAATGCATAAGTAGATATTATTTTATGAAAATATAGTATATTAATACCTAGTTATAAATAAATAATCTAATATATTTACTAGTAGAATAATAAATAAAAAATGAAACAACGTGGATGGATTAGTCAGAGGACAGTTTAGTAAGTAGTTTTACAAGCTATAAAAAACTAATTTTGATAGTTATAAAAACTAATCTTAGCAAACCAATTACTAAATTAAATACTTATTAAGAAATGGATTGACATATATATATGTTTGTACATACCTGTAATATTGCATTTTGAGAAATGCATGTATCAAGTTCTATACTAGTATCAGTTAGATATGACAATGCTATATCCTTTTTAAATTTTTTTTTTTAATTATAATTTCATCAGCTCCAAGAATATGCTTTTTGTTAGAAGAATGACTATGATTATGCTTGACTGCAGGTATTTTAATTTTTTCATAGTTCGTAATATCATCAACATTAGTAGTATTCAAATTATTATGCTGTAAAATATTTAAATCTTTTTGTAACTTTGGCATTTTGCCATCTTTAAGAATATATTCTGAAGCACTTTGCATAATATTCAATAAAGCATTATGATAACATTCTGGCAACTTTTTGAAAATGTTAGTAGCAAGCTGTGGAATATGATCAACTTCTGCATTATATTGCACATGCCAATGTTGATGAATTTCACTTGGTAGAATGTGAGTATGCAAACACAATAGATATATCACAATTACATGTTGGCATAGTGTTTTAGTATGCTGTGGATGCATACATGTACAAGTACTTGGTATTCCAATATACATCATATATGTTATACTTACCTTATCATCTAATTATATAAGCTCATATATATTATCACAGAATTTCAAAACTTCATATTCTCCAGATCTTACAAGATCTCTTTGTTGCTTCACATAGGTTTCAAATGCAAATTATAAGCATACTGTACATAACATTTCCAAACCTATATCTTTATTATCTTGTGTATGTCTATTTTGATGTACAAATGATTCGTATAAAAACATTTGAGAGTTTTCATGATGCTGTTGCCATATTATCGCAAGTAATCTATTATACAGTATAATAAAAATAAAACAGATTAAAATTTGCAATTAACTAATGCTTAGAGGCTGGACTTATCAACTTATAACTTAAATAATGACTCAAGTTACTCAAGAATTAAATATATTTAGTTTTAATTTACATCATTTTTCAATAAATTTTATAACTCAAATGATTTGAGTCTAGTCATTAATTAAAAATATTAATACTCAAGTCATAATTCGAGTTTCAAGTTGATGAGTTCAGTATCTACTAATGCTATATTTAACTATGAATATAATGGGTATAATTAATAAAAAAAGTTTAGTGCTAAAATTCAAAAACAATTAATAACAAGTAATATTGATTGCAATTTGCCTTTTTGAATTTTAGCATCTAACAAATTTTTATTTATTTCCTACCTATCAATAGGTGTTACTCGATTTTCAACACCTTTCAATTTGCTATATAGAGCCTCAACATGACTAGTTGTTCTAAGATTAAGATTTATATTTTTTTTTGTATACAATGCAAGCCAACTTTCCTTGTATAGCATCACATATCACATATATACTTTTTTGTACTTGGAAATTGGTCCTATAGTTCTATAATTTTTTGATTTGTTTGATGTTTTAAAAGATCATCATACATAAGTTTTTGAATTACTTTAATAAATTTATCTATATCAATACTCTTAAGCTTTTTTCTTATATTCTAAAAATATGCTAAATGCATATTGATGTTTTACATTAGGAAATACAGTAGATAAATAGTTAGTGTTTTATATAACTATTGTAATACCCAACTATAAAATTTCTTCATTTCTGAATAAACAAATGTAAAAGCTAAAGAGTATGTTGATCCGAATCGGTTGATACTGCAAACAACAATCATTGGCATTGAAAATCTATTAAAAAAATTAAATAAAAATAATAAATAAATGACCTGTTAAAGAGATAATAATAATAATAATAATAATAATAAATAAATAAATAAATAAATAAGTAATCCATTAAAGAAAAAAAAATAATAATAAATTAACAAAATAAAATTGCAAATGTTTAGAGATTATATCTGTCAAAAAATTATACTCAGTATAGAAATTTATAACTAGCTACAATCTTTACAAGAGGTTGAAATTAAAAAAAAAACCTGTTTGTTTTGTATATCATGTCTATAATTAATATATCTTTAGCTATTACAAACTCAAAGACTACACTTTGGTAAGCCCAGAAAATTGAACTATCTTAATCACATTCATCATTATATACAGGTTGAGTTGCTATACTTGACATAATGTTTTTATTATTTTGCAAAGTCTTGAGCAATAACTCAATTTTATTTAATCCTTGCAACTTTTATTAGCATTGATGACTAATAGCATTATAGATGTCATGTTTATGTACATACTTTGAGCTAATAGAAGCTAAAACTGCATATATGTTTTTTATTTGAAGTCTATTATCATGAAGCTCTTCAATTATGCCTAGTTCATTTGGACTAAATTTATGCATGTTGCTACTAAACTTTCTAGAATCTGGATTAATTTCATAATTATGTTCTAAGCATAATTTTGTTATAATAAATTTTTTTATATGCTTGCAATAATTTAAGCCAACAATAAACAAGCAACTTGTCTGCTTAGTGGTATATGCATCTTTTTTTTACTATTATACTGCTCCTGTTTTTTATAAGCAAAAAAAACTTGTCTATAATCACTACCATCTTTATTTTTAGTTATTTTTGTCAAAATTACAACAATATTGGTTTGTGCAGCATAGTTTTCTATGAATGTATAAGCTTCTTCAAAAGTTAAAAAATCAAGCTCTGCTTTAGGAACTGTAATAGTATTAGTATTCATATTTAAAAAAAAAAAACAATATAAACTGAGAAATCAGAATGATAACTAGTGATAAGGGCTGATAAATGATATATTAACAAAAAAATATGAATGGATAAACAAGTATAATGAGGTGACAAAAAATGAAAGATTACTGATAAAGTGTGCCAACAAAATACCAAACTAAAAGAATATATGAAAAAAGAATATAAAAATAAAAATAACATGACAAGTGTAGTAAAGCAATGAAATGTGAAAGATCAATGATTAAGTGTCATGAAATACCAAAGTAAAAATGAAAAATTTAACATGAATGAATTGGTAAGTAAGCAACAAAAAATGAAAAGTCAATGCAAAGTTTGTCAATAAAATACTAAAGTATAAATTTAATTAATTTTGATATACACATATATTACAAAACTGATGTATGCAAATGATTATTGAGTTTGGCATATGAAAAATGACACTGCAATTTTATTGGTCAAAAAAAATTGATGTATACGAATTTGATGTACGCAAATTATTGTCGAATTTTGGTATGAAAAAGGACGCTGCGATTTTATTGGTCAAAAAAAATTGATGTATACGAATTTGATGTACGAAAATCATTCGCCGAATAAATTATTATTTTTGGCTATGGAGTCCTACAACTCAAATGAAAACTTCTATACAGCTTTTTTCATTTCATTATGTTTAGTCTCTAAACTGTATAAATAATGTAAAATCAAATTGAATTTATTAGCCAATCAGACGAACTTCTGCCTATGTGTTGGAGGGTAAATAACTTTCGGAGAATCGTGCCGTAACCATATAGATTATATTATTGATATATATGAGTGTTGTAAAGGAAAACCTGTTATCGGGCTTACAATGATACTTTGTGTCTGACTCAACCTATTTGATTGGTTTCCGGTACAAGATAAAATTGAAAGCCCGATGATAGATTTTTCCTTGACGGCACTCATATATATTTCACACAAACTAAGCACACTAAACTTGTTGGGCAAACGTTCAAATGAAAGTATAATAATATTAACGTGTCGACATTTATAATGTCAGAATTATCTGTAGAAAGTATCATATATCTTCTATACATAAGGTGGAAATTTGCGCAATTTTTACGTGTAAATCTTAATTACTCTAGCAATCGCGATAGTAAACCTATTTTAATTAAATATATGTGTTTATTTTCAGAGATATTGAAATATTATCTGCATTATAAATAATTAACAAATAATGAATTTACTAATACAGATATAAGAATTCTGAAGGCATAAGCTTTTTATTTTAACCGCAATTATGATTTAAACATGCTAGTATTTATGTAAAGGGTCCCTACTAACTTTTTTTTCTTCAATGAGGTCTAAATTCTGCAAAACTAAATGATATTTTCAAAACCAAATTGATTATATTCAAGATCTAAAGACAATTTGGTATTTACGCAAAGTGACTCTGCCAATGCTTCCACTCCGTCAAAACCAAGTTGATTATAGTAAAGATTTAAAGAGGTTAGAGTAGTGTTTTTATAAAGAGCTTTTGCTATTGCCTTCGCCCCTTCGGAACTAATCTGATTGTTGCTAAGATTTAAAGAAGTCAGAGTAGTGTTTATACAGAGTGCCTCGGCTAGTGCCTTTGCACCTCTAGAGCCAATATGATTATTGCCAAGATTTAAAGTAGTCAAGGAGATGTTTTTACCAAGTGCCTCTGCTAATATTTCAGCACTCTCAGAACAAATCAAATTATCACAAACATCTAAACAGGTTAGAGTTGTATTTATACTGAGAGACTTTGCCAATGCTTTTCCTTTTTCAAAATCAAGTTGATTAGAAGAAATATTTAAAGTAATTAATGCAGTGTTTATGCAGAGAGCCTCTGCTAATGCTTTTCCTCCTTCAGAATCAAATTGATTGTCAGAAAGATTTAAAGAATTTAGAGTAGTGTTTATACAAAGCGACCTCGCTAATGCTTTCCCTCCTTTAGAACCAAGTTGATTACAAGAAAGATTTAAAGAAATTAGAGTAGTGTTTTTGCGAAGAGCTTCTGCTATTGCTTCCGCACCCTCAGAGCCGAGTCGATTGCGATAAATGTCTAAAAAAGTTAATGTTTTGTTTATGCAAAGAGCCTCTGCTAATGCTTTTACTCCCTTAAAGCCAAATTGATTATAAGAAAGATCTAAAGAAATCAGAGCAGTGTTCACACAAAGAGCCTTTGCCAACGCCTTTATCCCTCCGGAACCAATCTGATTACTGCCAATATCTAATGTAACTAAAGCGATGTTTTTACAAAGAGCTTCCGCCAACGCTTTCGCACCCTCAGAACCAAGTTGATTATAATAAAGATTTAAAGATGTCAGAGTATTGTTTGTGCAAAGGGCTTCTGTTAATGCTTTCCCCCCCTCAGAATCAAGCTGATTAAAAGAAAGATCCAAAGAAGTCAGAGTAGTATTCTTGCAAAGAGCTTCTGCGATCGCTTTCCATCCCTTAGAACTAGGTATATTACAAGAAAGGTCTAAAGAAGTCAAAGTGGTATTTTTGTAAAGAATCTCCAATAATATTTCTATTGTCTCAGAACCCAAATCACCAATATAAAAATCCATAGAGATGATAGTGGTATTTTTATAAAGATATTTAGATATCATTTTATTGCAAATGGTTCCATTAAATCTTAAATTTTTAAGATTCTTACTAGTTCGTAAAAACATCGAAAACAAAGAACATTTAACAGCATTTATAGTATCAAATTCATCATTTTCATTATAATCAATAGATTCTGAATTATACCAACTATTTGTTTCATATCTTTCATGATAATTAAGCCAATTTTTGACTCCATCATGTAAATAAAAACCAACCGATGTAGCATAACTTGCGTAATTAAATAATGGTTGGGGATAATTTGGAAAGGTAATTTTAAAAGGAATCAATGGACCCCGTTCTTCAACATTTAACATTAAAAGGTAAATTTCTATAAGTCTTTTGTCATCAAAGTAACTTGTTGGTTCGCTCCATAATATTGGTACAATAATTCTGCACCAGTGACGGTTTACAAGTAGGCATGAAAATAGGCTTCTATAGTTATTTTGGAGGTAATTAAATATTTTAAAAAAGCACTCGTTCGGTAATGATATCATTTTAAGGGATTACTGTATACATAAATTTTAGCAATTAGAACCGGATTTTAACGCCGAAATATATTAGATGATCGATACTAGAATAAAGCTATCAATTGAGCCTGAAACAGTATTTAAAGGTAATGTATGGTCATGTGTGTAACACGAAGACGAGAAAGATTCTTAGCATGCTTTTTAAATCACTTGTAACTACGTATATCGATATGCAGAGAAACATGTGCCTTAAACTGACAATATTGTCAATTACAGAATTAGGCGTAATTCAATAACGTGACGACACGTAAAAAGTTAAATATCTTGCAGCGTTTGAAAATTCCAATTTAAAATTAACAGTACAGAATGGTAGTACTGGTTATAGAAACCTTCTAACATTGTTATTGTAAAGCCTTCGCTTTAAAATTTTTTAATGTAAATAATAGAATAATATATTAGTCATACAACTAACATTAAAATTTAAAATTTTCGTTTAAAAATTTTGGTTAAATACGTTTTTCCTTTAAGAAAAGCTGTTGCTGAGGTTTCAATGAATGAAACTATGTAAAAAAAAACATAAAAAATGATATTTCTTGCCGAATACGCTTTTTGAAGATGACAACCATGTTATTTTATTCATTATATTATATTTCATTTCACAGATTATTGATATAGAAAGTGGTATAGCAAACTACGAATTATAACCTTGAAAGAACGGTATATTATGAAGTATAATGAAAATTTGGAAATTTGTTTTTATAGCGTATAGATTATGCTTCTGATTTTTTGCTTACTCTTTTAATAAATATTTGCTAATAGGTTTGTTTTTAATTAAATATTTATGCTTTGGAGTTCATAATTTATTAACGGTTTATTTATTTTTTAGATATCGGTAGATATAATATTCAGATATATAAGTAATATATTATTTAAAATCACCTGTTTCAAAGTTATAATAATCTATAATAAATCTTTCTGAAAAATTTATTAAAGTTAGATATAAAGGTATAATAAATCAGCATTGCTAAATCACACCAGTGATGTTCAATACCACAGTGCTATATCTCCAAAGCTGTCTAAATAACCAAGGACGGATGTACTAAGTAAAAATGTTTAGCATCCCAAAAACCTTACCCTAACTTTATTGCCAACAAATTACTTTAAAAATTATATAATGTTGAACGCCACCGATGTGATTTAAAATTTTTGTATTGTTTGGTATACTACTGGCACTATTTATTTCAGTTATTTCTTATCCAATAAAAAGCAACATTTATTATAAACGGATTTATGGTGGTTTGGTACCTATTATATGTTTTTATTATCGTTATGTTTTGATATAAAATTTTCAATGCAAAATTTTCATATTAGGGTTGGTATTTTGAATTAAAATTAAGATTTGTGAAGGGTTTTTAGGGGCGTAAAACACTTTTACTTAGAACATCTCGCACTAATTAATTAGCTAGTTTTTAAGATAATAACTTCATAGGTGTAAGACACCATAGATGCGTTTAGTAAAACTCAAAAACCTAAGTGCTTGTTGTTTGCTTTGAGTTGCTACTTCAAACAAGACAATCAGAAGTACATCTGTTTAGAATTACTGCTTTATGCATACAAGATCTAATTACAAGCCATAATTTTGATTAGGTGCAACTTTAAAACTAAAGTAATAAATGGCAACTGCAGATACAACATATATTCATTGGACCTTTTTTTAATTTTATTCAACATAAAAATGGTATAAAATTTCTATATTAGACTATACAAAAAAATTTCTGTAAAAAATATTGTGCATTTTTTATATATATAATTTTTTTAAAAATTAAAATTAGAAGCTGGATTGTGGTATCATTTTTATAACTTCATGTTATGAATTGATTGTTAGTTGATAATACCATGTTGCTATTACCACGCTTAAAGTTTCTTATTTAAGTTAGCATACATGTTTAATAACAAGAAATTATAATCAAGCCTACTAGGTCCCTGCTTCACTCTAGATATTGAAACTAATTTTCTTTTATTAATCTTAAAGTTGCAATGGTAGCAATAATAAATATTATTAAAGAAGAAAAAACTCCAGTCAAGATAGCAATAATTAAATTACGGTTAATATTAGAACTATTGGAGTTGTTTGAACCAGTGGAACTTTTTGAACTAGTAGGACTACTTGAATTATTTGTAATGGTCGTTTTACTTGAAGTCAACTCAGTAACCCATTTATAAGAATATTTCTGACTTATATCTAATGCATATAACATTTGATAAATTAGTATCATCGACCAGCCCTATTAAATTAAACTGAAAGTTAAGCTTATGTTTAAATAAAATTTTGTACTAAATAGAATATAATAGCTATAAAACTCTGCCAAACGCAAGAACCATATAGTTTCCCACAATAGTCGCGGTATGACCATAAAGACTAGATGGACCCATCTCTGGGTTTAAAATATTCCCAATTGACCATTTATATGTCGATGCATCCAATATCCACAAATCACCGTAATACATCTTAGAAGATGAATTATTAATGCCACCAAATATTATAATAAGTCCGTCAGGTGCTAGATAACATAAATAATTAATCAGAAGCCTTGTATTAATATTCACTACAAATTTACATACTTAATACTCACGAAAAAAATTCACGAGCAGAGGGGATTTGATCTGAAGTAGCTAAATAAGAATATATATCAGAAATAGCTAATATTAGTGAGCATTTATTGTCACGGATAAAGCTTAAAATCCAAACTTAACTACAAAAAAAAAATAATAAATAAAAATTCAGATTAAAATAAGTCAACTTCCAGCTTCAGTCGCGACATTTATTGATTAACATTCCACGCATACCATCACATTCCAACTGTTGGATTTTGTGTTATATATTGGTAACTAAAAATAAATAAACAAATAAATAATGCGTTCATACTAATACAAATGAACCGAAGAAACATGATGACAAAAGGTACTGCATCACATACAATATTCATTGGCAAATACTTTAAATTATTGTCACGTCCACCAATATATACGATATTTTCATCTGGCAAACATACTGCAAAGTAATTATTTCGGGCTTCCGGTGCATTTGTTGCATTACTCAAATTCCGGGATAATGTCAAAGAATTGAATATCCAAAGGTCATTTGTAGTAACTTCGTTGCCGCTAAAATAGCGAACATTCCTTCGCCAAATTTTGCGCATGAAATGCCTCTTCTGTCTGCAGGCACACGTGATACTATTCCACCGTTTCTCATTTGTATTAAATCGATTAACAAGAGCTTGACTATAATGATGACCACCAATAATAAAAATCTCATCATTATTGATACCAGTTGTACCTTTTCCTTTTTTAGGGCCACCGGTATAAGTTAGATCAGTCCACGGCATTGAGGTATTGTTGGTTATTACAGATAATTCATAAACATCTAAGTAGAAAAAATCATTAGATACAGAACTGAAAGAGCTGTTATGATATCCACCACTAAAATAAAGTTTGTTATTGATAAGGGTCGCAGTATGATAACATCTTAACACCGGAACAAAAGCAAAAATATTATTCATAAAAAAAGTGAAAATATAAATTATGAAGTAATACATTGCATTCTCTGGAATGGAGTGAAGAGCTAGTACACATCTATCAGAAAGTTCAAATACTATATAACATCACGTTCGTTAGTGAACTGTGATGTATCACCTGTGCAACACTTACTTTCGAACAGAAAAAACGATATTTCTGTTAATTTTCTAATTTTATTTAATTCAATTTCCAACAGCGTTATCAAAAGTTTGACACACAGGAGCATTAGAGGTTTTCGTTTGACTCACACAAATTTACCAACTAGATCATGGATTAAAAGCTAAAGATCTTATGTATTTGAATGTCAAAAAAAATCCGACTTTGAGCTTTCAGTTTATTTACCGGACTCAGAAGCATGTATTATACATTATTTAACTTATGGATCATACTTATCCTCGATCAGAGCTAAGTCCAGTAAATAATAAATAATAAATAATAAGCTTGAAGCCCGAAGTCTGGTTTTTCCTTGGTTTCACCCATTTATTTGTTGAATTAACTAAAAATAATAAGGTAAAATTAAGAATTTGTAAGACAAATAAACCCGTAAATTTAAAGATATTAATATGTCAATATTTAACGTCCTACCCAAAATTAGCCAATCATGATTGAGAATTATTTGTCGTCAAAATTTAATACAAAGTTTTTTACACAAAATGGTCTTTTAAACTTTGAATCCGCAACTAAGTGTATAGAACATTGCAATATCTGCATGTTTAATTATTGGCTGAAAGTAAGTTTAAAAAAGGCTTTTTTCCTCAAAAATTGCTTTCAAGTCCACTCTTACCCATTCTATAACCGATCGTTCACTAACCAAAAATATCCGAACGTTTCAACAACTAGTGATAGTGCTTTCTTTTACGGCTTAGTGTAGCTGTATTTTAGTATTTATAGCTTATTTATCTCATATAGAAGTTAAATAAACTTTTTTTTATTGAATGTTTCGTTTGTCATTCTTTACGTCACTTAGTGGCAAAAGTTTGTGTAACTGTTCATCGAAAAAAGACCCTAAAATCAAATCAGTGGATATGTTAAGCAGTTACTTAAAGGTTTAAAATTAGATAATATCGTCGCACCTAAACTTCCTCAGCATCACCTTCAAAAAATATCACCGTCGGGTGATGGTCGACAGCAAATAGCTAATAAGTCACAAATTGGTTTACGTGAACGAAGAACGTGTTTTTCAAAAAATTTTCCTAACTTCTATTTCTGATGCAGTTAATTTTGTGACATTATAAACTATTTTGCAATATGCATAATTTCATTATTCGTGAAGATGCTGCAGCAGTTTTAAATCAAAAATGGAAAGACAAGGAGTTATAGAATGTCCCGAAAAACCACCAAGATCAAAGAAGACTAAAAAAGGAGAGAATGTTGAGCAAACACTAACAGCACGAAATCATGAAAGAAGTGATTGGGATCCAGCATGGAAAATTATTTTTCCCTGGGTAGAAAGATGTGTTATCGATGAAAAACCTTTTATGATTTGTCTTTGGAGTAAGAAATATAACCCAGCATCCAATAATCTTTTTGTATCTGGGTGTAATACATTCAAAAAATATTACCTTAATCAATATTTCAAAACCAACGACCATGTAAATGCCATGGTGAATGACTGACTGATCAAATTGATTTGTTCAGTAGTTTCTCAATCCATGCTTATTACAACAAATTGGGTATCATCTCAAAACTGCAATGTGTTTATTTATGTGCCAAAAAGCATCTTCCAATTTATGCTTACCTTGACATAGCTAATTTGATTGATATTCATATTAACAATCTCGGCGAATTAGTTTATTAAAAAGAGTCACAAACTTTAATATCACCACACATTAGTTCATAAAAAGATATCAAATCAGATTTTGAGAAATATTCGATGAATTATGCAACCCTATACCAATCCTATGTACAGTGCAATGTAATTTTAACTGTAATTGAAGAATTTGTTTTTGAAGAATTGAGATGATTAACAGCTATTGTAAGAAAACAACCATTACTCAACATTTATGTTACAAGGATATTTAAACTGATAAGTTATTATATTTCAGAAGTGATGATAATGGTAATAGTACGATAATTGGTTTGTATTGCTTGATAGATTCACCAGTTTCAATTATTATATATAACTTATTAACATAATTAATATAAATCATAAGGTATTTGAAATGGTATATTAACATGCTTGAAGAAGTCCAATTCTTTCATGAGCAATTGTCATTGTATTAGCATTTGCAGGAAAAATTCAACAGCTACAGTACCATATTTTCTTGATTATGAAATTACAATCAAAGATTTTTATGCTTATTTTAGTGGATCTCATAATCACTGGTATAATTTGCGCATGTTCTAATTACAAAATGACAATGGTCTATAACTGGTCATTTTTCGAGTAGTATTAACCTAATAGTTATCTTTAATCAAATGTCATTCAACTTATACTAAATTATTTACTTCATTATGAATGTATTACAAGATGACATATGCATGCACAAGCTTTGTTTAATCAACTGGATGCTGAGTTTATTTTTGCTACAAAGTTTATTGCTAATATATTATTAACAATCTTTGATCTTTGTAAAGTTTTTCAATCAAATTATGTTGTACATGCAAATGTTAATCAAGAACTCAACAAAACAATTGATTCAATTATTTTAGAATTTATTGACTATTCAAAAGAAGAGATTATACTAACATCTGGCAACCACTTGTGAATATCTTGATAAAAATAATATAATTACAAATTTAGATTTTGCAAAGAATTTGTACAATCAATAATAATAAATTATTATTATCAATTTTCTAACACAAATAGACAATAATTAAAGTTATATATGTAGCTAATTGT